GGGGAATTACAGTATTGTGCTTGCATTTGGAGCTGTTCTTGACCCTCGAATAAAATCGCAATCGTTTGATTTTTTTTATTCAAATGTTGAAAGTGATTTTGTGAAATGTCAAGAAAATGTAGCACTTGTGAAGAGTAAACTATATAAAATTTTTTAAGGTTACAATAATGCTACCAACTCAAGTTCATCACAACCTCAGCCGTCCTCTTATTTGCATGCATTTCACATTGGAGAAGTCAATGAAAAAAATAAAATGCTCTTTAATGTAAGTACTCTATTATTATTATTATTATTATTATTATTATTATTATTTTATTGCAGTTCTTTTTTTTTATGTAAACATCAGTTTAATTTCGTACGTAATATTTAATATTTATGTAGGAACTGAAAGTTTTTGTGAATCAGACCACAAGAAGTTCCGGAGAAAATCAACTAGATATATATTTAGAAGAAGGAGTTTTGGAGTATGATCAATATGAAGATATGAATGTGTTGGACTATTGAAAATGTCAAAGTCATCGACATCATGAGCTTGCATCGATGGCATGTGACATACTATCTATTCCTATTACAACAGTTGCATCTGAATCAGCTTTCTCTATTGGTGGTCGTATTCTCACAAAGTACAGAAGTTCTATGGTTCCTCGGAAAATTCAAACTTTGATTTGCGCACATAATTGATTGCATGAATTTTCTATTGGTAAGTTATATTATATAATAAATATTTAAATAAATGTTTTATGTTATATTTTTCTATATTACTCTAATTTATTTTATTCGTAGATGATATTGATAATGATGGTGATGGAGATGGTGATGACGATGACGACGATGATGATGATGATAATGATGATTGCATGAGAAATAAGACACTCATGTAAGTCGAATGGCCTACTATGTTGCATATCAGTGAAGATGAACAAGAAGAAAATGAAGAATATTTTAATAACGATATGATTAATTAATTTTAATTTTGAAACTATTATATTTGCCAATTTGGATGGTGAAAATTGGAATTGTGTTACTTAATTAATGTTATTTGTTTTTTGAAATATTTATTATTTCAATTCTACAATATAATAATTTTTATTTAATTTTTAGATATTTAATTATAATAAATATAGTTTTAAATATTTGTAAAAAGCCCGCGGGTTTGCCCGCTTGGCTCGCCACCCGCAAGTGGGTTGGGTTGGGTTCATTAAATTTTAGACCGCCCCGCCGTGGGCTGGCCCGCAAATAACCCGCTTATTTGCGGGTTATAGTGGTTGTGGGCTAATCCGCTCCGTTAGCCTTTTTGACAGCTCTAACTATAGCAAAGGGTGTGGGTCTCACACTTCTAATTTCTCCAATCTCCTTTTTTGGGGGGTTTTTTAATAGATTTTTTTCAAAAATATATATATATAACTTTAGCTATTCAATTACAGTTTTTTTTTTTTAAATAATGGGATAGTGGGGTAGTTTCTTAATTTTGTTTTTAAATTCAGCTTGTGTATCATATTTTGCAAAATACTGTAATACGAATGCGTATTCTCTCAACAATTTAGCAAAATCAAAATATCGGGCGACTAGTCTCCTGCGTTGGATTTCGGAAAGGTGTGTTGCAAGTCCCACGAAAGCTCGGCAATGATTTGGTGACTCTCTCTTCTACGTCGTACTATATTTATTTTCAAATGCGTTCTTTCTTAGAAAATTGCTTTTATTTTTAATTTTGGTTAATCAATTCTGGATAAATTTTATTTTTAATATATTTTGTAGATATTTTCTATTTATTTGTTTTGAAGATAAATTACGATCTTGAAGAAGAAAAATGTAACACATAATATTCATTTATTTTTTGATATATTTTACCAATATTTTTTATTCTATTTATTTTGCAAGTAAATCACATCTATAGAAGGAGAAGGTAAACTATAAATATAATATTCATCTATTATGTATAAATATATAATATAACATTGGATAATATATATATAGGATAATGATGTGAAATGATAATAATAATAATATATTTAAAAATATGTAAATAAATAGTACAAGAATAAAATAAATTTGATGATACGTAATAATAGTGATGTGATATAACAATGCAAGTGTATTTAAATCTACATAATACAATAATAACTAATGATGTGATATAACAATGTAAGTGTGTTTAAAAAGCTATTTAGTACAATAATAAACTATAATGTGATCTAACAATGCAAGTGTTTTCAAAGATAAATAGTACAACAATGTGATATAACAATGCAAGTGTATTTAAAGCTACCTAGTACAATAATCAACTATGTTCAAACCTATCTAGTACAATAACAAATTATGATGTGATCTAACAATACAATTAATAAAGCTCAACAAGACAAAACTTGAAATCACTACTACAATTATACAAGTAAATATTGTGATGTGATATAACAATGCATTTTAAAAAATTAAACAAGCCAAAAATAAATTGATTTGATTTAACAAGACATAATATATATAATTAATATATAAGTTATAGAGTGTCTAAATTTTTCTATAAATATGTTTGCATTTTACAAAAGAAAACACACAAACTTTCATCAAAGATCTTTATATTTTCTCCCACTATACTACATTTTAGTTTTAACAATGGAGCAAAACTCTCAAAAATCTTCCAATTCTCAAAAGCTTTTTTCATTTCAAAGTTTTACGAACATGCTTGGAAATCAAGATTGTTCGCAAAACTCTTTCAATCCTAATGTTACTCAAAATTTTTAAACATCTGTCCCAAATTTCTACGCTTCATTATATTTTTCTATTCCTCCATACTACTATTATCCTCAAGTTTTTCAACCTTTTGTAGGTACATCATATCCTCAAAACTTCCAATCATTTCAAGGTCCATTTCATCCATCATCGATAGGTTTACGCAAAATATACAAATGGAAAGTATTCCTAAATTTTGCACACAATCCAATCAACAAGATGAAGATAACGTACAAATCATTGTTCCAACGACAGAGACCAAAAGAAAGTGAACTCATGAAGAAGATTTGCTTCTTATTAGTAGATGGCTTAACACAAGCAAATATGCACTAATAGGCACCGATAAAAAACGTACTACTTTTTGGAAAAAAAAATTCAATATTTTAATGATAACAAATCTGAAGCATGGGTGTCAAGATGTGTAAACCAATGCAAGAATCGTTGGCAAAAGATAAATAAAGCCGTTTCAAAATTTGTTGGGTGCTTTCAACAAGCTAACCAATAAAAAATGAGCGGAGAATCTATTGATGATGTCTTGAATAAGACACATCAAATATATTCTGCATATTGTAAGAAAACATTTATTTATGTACACGCTTGGCGTGAATTAAAACTTGAGCCAAAATGTAGTACCAGTCATCATGGTACAAATGTTGTCAATGAAGCATCTTATGACAGTGGAGTTGGCCCGAAGAGAACTAAAATTAATTAAGATGGTGGATACTCGTCTAATTCAAATTCAACATCACCACATAGTGATGGAGTAAAAGAATCTCCCTCAATTCGTCATCCGGGTGTGAAAGCGTGTAAAAATAAAGGCAAATGGGCACCGAAGAAATCTTCAAATTCATTTTCCTCCAATGATTTTGAAGTACTACGAGCTCAAAGTAAAGAAGTTGCATCACAATTTGCTCATATGACACAACTGAATGAAGAAAAAATCAAAAGCAATGAGCGTATTGTCAAAATGAAATTTTATCGAACACTAGTGGAGAAAGATAATTTGACGGAGCAGGATCTACTTGTTAAGGCTAAATTGTTCGAAGAGTTGTTTTAAATATTATTTAAATTATATGTATTTTGTTCTTATGTTATTCAAATTATCCTGTCTTTTATTTTATATTAATATCTTATTATTAATTATGTATGTATAATTCATTATAAACTAAATATATTTATTGTTTAATATAATTTTATATTATTTAATTACTTTAAAATTTATAATTATATTTTATTTAATAAATTAAATTAAATTTATTAATATTGACTTGTTCAATAGAATTATATAATATTTGTATTTATATATTTTAAAATTTAAATCCATAAAATATATTCAATATTGGTATCATTTTGTAGAATACAAAATATTATGAATTATAAAAATATTACAAAATTTAAATATAACAATAAATTAATATAAATTATAAAAATAAAACATATATAATATATATCATATTTATATATATATATACACATAAGTGTCATGTGTCCCAATTGGCAATTGGATAACATCTCTTAGCATCTCTGCACAGATGCTGCAGAAATGCTGGGAGGCAAAATATCTCTCAATTTTTATTTTTATTTTTTTTAAAAAAATAGTGATGTGGCAGGAGATGCGCTCGATGCGAATAGTCTTAGCTCTTTATTGCTCAATTCTACAAAAGGCTACTGGTGTTCCTTTGTGGAAGAAAGCAATGAAAGCTTCCCCTCCCCTTCAAATTCTGATTCGGTTTTCTCAAGTGCATATTCCAAATCCTCTTTGGCTTAAGCTGTGAACATTGCTTTCAAGCCTATTTGATATCAATACCTGACTCCATCATGTCTCATATCAAGCTACCATTTCTTTTAAAGAAAGTTCTTTTTTTTAATGCAAAAATGTTGTTGATGCTACGAATCATGTACGTGAAGTTAGCCGCTTCAGGGCAAGAAAATAGAACCGGTAACGGATAGAAAGCTACTTACGTGACTATGCCTTTAAAAAAGTAAAAAAAATAAAAAATAAAAAAAAACACCTGGGTGTGTTTGTTTGTGGGTTTTAGATTTTTTGTTTAGATTTTTAAATAGTAAAAAATTGAATTTGAATAATTTTTAGATGTGATATAAATAGAGGTTGATGTAATATTTTGAATATAAAATAAATTTATAGTATAATATAAAAAAAATAATAATTGTTCAATATGATATTTTTTTAAAAAAAAATAGTTTGTATAGTAAAAACTTGTGGTAAAATCCACCAAAATACGTGGATTCCAGTGTAAAGTAAGACAGCAGATTGGTTGTTTTATTTCGATTCAATCAAATAATCCAAATATCCAATCCAATGTTTACATCTTTAATTAACTACAACACTACCCTACCCTATCTTCGTTCATTCATCCATCTCTGCAACTTCCTTTCTTCCTTCCCCTTCCTCCCTTCCTCAACACAACCTATATATATATATATATATATATATATATATTCTTCATTCTCCTGCAAGCTAAGCATGGCAGAAGAACATTCACTCCCATCGGATTCAACCACCATAGCCATTCCTGTGAGCCTTCTGCCATTTCCACGCGATCGACAAGCTCTCCTCCAGATTCGTATACTTGGCCTTCCACCCGAGCTCGTTCCAAATCTTCGACGGGTCACTGTACACCTCAGCATAGTCGCCCGGTCGCCGCGGGAGGAACTCCACCTTTATCTTTACGCCCGTCGCCTTCTTGCACGCCTCCACGAATTCTTTCACCGAGCTCCCTGTAATGGAGATCAACCAATCTTACGAGACCAAAAAGCAAAAACAGATTATTGTACTAATCACAGTGTTCAAATGTAACCTTTTCCCGTGCCAACGTTGTAGATTCCGACATTTGCAGGCTTTGCATGGGCTAAAGCTTTGACGTGGGCGTCTATTAGATCGGTTACATCAATGTAGTCTCGTATGCAAGTCCCGTCCGAGGTCGGGTAGTCTGTCCCACGTATCTGTATCAACATATATATATATATCAATACATACTATATATTATTAATTTTCGCACAATAAATATCTGCCTTGATTATGTATGTTCGAATGACATGACTTAGTACGTACATACCTTCAAGCCGTTAATTATTCCTCTCGCAGCATCAAAACAAGCTCCCGATATTCTCCCTTGTTCTCTAAGTTCAGGTCTCGGGGATTCTCCTAATCTCCCCTCGGGATCGGATCCAATCACATTGAAGTATCTGATCACAACAAGTTTGTTTAATTTATATGCATCATCGTTAAAAACTAAAAACACCGAAACTTTTACAAAGGATGAACTAACCTTAAGATCATGACAGCCATGTCAGATGTTTTCGAAAAGTCGAGAATGATATCTTCCGCCATTTTCTTGGCTTTTCCATATGGATTAATCGGTACCTAAAGAGCATTTACATGTTAAGCCATCGAATCGACTCAAACAAAAGAACTTCAAAACTATCATGTTTTCGCATAAAAAATCAGACGCCGATGAAGTTCGCATTTTTCTTCAAGCATTGTGCAAAAAATTTGTATTTCGAAAAAGCAATATCATTTGCCCTAAGTGGAATAATTGTGTGTATATTATTTTCACACGAGGAATATTGAAAAGCATAAAGTTTACGGGTAGCTAACTTATCTATAACCCTTATGTATTTGCTCACTTGAGGAGTGGTTTCGATTATGGGCATTTTCTCGGGTTCTCCATATGTAGCACAAGTACTCGAATATATCAAAGTCTTGACGCCGTGTGCTGCCATCGCCTTCACGATCAACAAGGTGTTTGATGTGATGTTGTGATAGTACCTGCACCGCAAGCGTAAGAGTAGGCAGGAATGACTAAGATGCATTCTTTTAATTTCCGTATAACATCAAAATCCCGTCAATCGAATCCTTTTTTTAAGAGAAACAAGAAATCAAAGTCTCATAAATGAAGGGATTGTGAGGTATTTAGAGGTTGAAGAGAGTGCATACCGTAGAGGCTCAGCTGTGCTTTCTCCGACATATGCAACTGCAGCAAAGTGCATCACAGCATCGATAGCATTCTCCGCGAATACTTTGTTTACCTGATTTTGAAAGCTAAGGAAACTTCATCCAAGATAACTTTCGTTGAAAAAATTTCGGAAACATTCTCGATCCACAATCATCAATATCATGTTGTTACAAATTAGTGAGAACCAATCGAAGCTCGTAACTTACACATACTATTAATCATTCCACTTGCTAAGTAGTCTTCCAAAATCGACTAGGACAGAATTATAGAGATTAATAGGAGCTGAAATGTTGAAAAGGATACAGTTGCTGCATCTCCAAGATCGCCATATATAAACTGAAGCCTCCCGGGTTCGGGGAAGAGCCCCTGCAGGACTTTAACAGCTCCCATATTTCCACGAGAAAGGTTGTCCTGATCATGTTACACATGTTTAGAAAAGCATAATCTCGATGATAAGAAACTCATGTGAAAAATGAAAAAGAATCGATCATTTCTTCAGAAATGCATACCACAATAGTGACACGATACGAGTCTCTAAGGAGCCTAAGAACAGCATGAGAGCCTATGTAGCCAGCGCCTCCAGTCACCAAGACATGTGTTACACCAGGCTCATGCTCCGAAAACTAGACATATTAAAAATGATAAATTGCGTGAGAAGGAAATAAAAACGAGGACATTTCTGTACATCGATAGAGCAATTTCAACAACTAGGACAAGATTAAAAACTTCCTATGCATACACAATTAATGGCATGCACATCCTCTTAGGAACATTCTTTCCCCATTGGTCAATCACATATTCGAAAATTGTTTTTTAGGGATTGGATCGAGCTCGTTATAGAAACATATTATTGTATCTCTCCCTATGAAGATAAACTTTTAGGTAAAGGGTACAAAGTAAAGCACGAAGTTGAACGTTCGATTACGTCCAAAACTTTATGAGGTAAAATACATAGAAACGATGCAAGCAAGACGATGCGATGGAGATAACACAAATATAATGTACATATTTATATGAATGTAAAGACATGTTTTCCGAATCAGATTGAAATGGCTTATAAAATGGATCTACTTCATGCTTATGCCAGTTCATAGCGATTCGATTAGGCATACGACACGGCTGATGATATTTAAATAAAAACTGGTTATGAGTTAAGAAAAGAGAGGAAAACACAAACCTTGGACGAGGTACCCGGAGATCTTCGAAGCATGAAAACAAGAAGGGCAGTTAGTCCAGCAGCCAAGAGAATTTTCCTGGTCACTTGGTTTCGACGTTTGTTCTCCATGAAATCCATCTGTACCTGGTCCACAAACAATCGAAAATCATCATCTGATGAAACATATGTGTGTGTATATATACATGTGTATCATAAGATGCAAGTCTAAGATGTTACAAAGATTGTGTAGCTACTAACTATAATGCCCGAAATCGAGACAAACAATGGCTTCCAGCTTCAAGTTATTTGTAGGATTGATCAGTGAGAAACTTTTTAAACTGTTAAATGAACAGAAGAAAACATAGCAGCATCAATGATCAAAAGAATTGGAGAGACAGGTTGCAATCCATTGATTACAATACAGAAAGAAACACAGAGAAAGTATTGATCCATCATACATCAATTCAATACTAGTTAACGAATAAAAAGAATTGATAAATTAAAGCACACCATTGATCCATCATCAGCAAAAGTCACATATCCAAAATTCAAACAAATACAAGGATAATAACAAACAAGTACAAAATGGGGGAAAAACTAGCAGACCAGCACTAGGTGTTCGACGAAATGCCTGAACAGAAAAAGGAAAGCAGAGGCGTACCAGAGCAGGAATGTTGGGCAAGAATAGCCAGGCCTCTGCAAGGAAAACGAAGACAGGACAGGACGCCAATTAATCAGCAATGAATTCGTAGAAATTGAGGGCGAGAGAGGGTGCTATAAAAAGGAAGATACATGTATGGAATTGTGTACGTATCGATTGACAGATGGTAGAGAATGAATACAAAGAAAACGGGGGAAGAAGTTGGGATTCGGGGAGCATTGTAATGGAAGGAAAGTGGAGGATCCATTGACGAGCGCCATGAATGAATGGAACCGAAGAATGTCAGCCGTTGGATCATCGGAGCCGTTGATTCCTCTCCTCTCCTCTGCGTTTCAATTTTGGGCTGTTTGAAATAGTCAATGCTTTCTCTCCAATTACCTAATCAATTAATTTAATTAATTGTGGAATTAAAAAATAATCATTTTATTTTATTTTATTTTATTTTATTTGTGTGGAATTTTGGTGGTCGCTTTGGAAAAATAGGAGCGATTTTGATAATGATATGTGATTTTGAAATCAATATTTTCTTAATTCAATTATTATAAATAAAACCGCATTCATATTTCATTAAAAGTATTAATTTTTTATTATAATAAAAATAATTAATATAAAAAATAGCACAAATTATATATAGAAATGAATATTATAAATTACAATATAATTTACTCAAAATATTATATATATATATATATATTAAAATATGTTAATCATAATCTTATTATTAATTTTGGAAAGACAACGTGGAAACTTATACGATACAACTTGCTGCACGTTACTTATGCCCTATTTTATTTTTAAAATTTATTTTTTACAATAAAATATTTAGTATTTTATTATTACAATAATCGCAGTTGTAATAACATAACAGCATAACAAAAAGTCAAAACAGTTCCTAATTAAAGCTGTCACAACGTACACAATTTTTAATAACATATTGATGATTAGCCTTATACTCCTTCCGTTCCCGACACTATAGTATTTGATGTACTAGGCATAAAATTTAAAAAATATTAATATTATATTGATAGTGGATAAAAAGTAAAGAGATAAAAGACATTTTTGTCCTTATAAATATATTAATGTAAAAGGTAATGGCAATCGTATAATAATAATGAAATAGTAAAAGTAGTTATACAGTGATATGGTTATTTATGGAAATAAGACCATTGTTTTATAACGAAAAAAAATACTAAACAAGACTATTGTATTGAGACGAACGATTTATTTTTTTTTTTTCTCTCTCTCTTTTTTTATTTATTTATTTATTTTTTTTACACAGTTTAATATATTTGCATAATAATTCAAATATGTTTTTTTATTCTATTTATATAAGTTTTGAAAGTATTTAAATATTCGGTTAGTTTTTATATAGTAAAAGATATATTTCTTCGTCTCATATAATTTGTTCAATATTTGTATTTTCATTCGTTTCACATAATTTATTTTTTTTTAAGAATATAATGATATACTTTCATCACAATTTAAAATTCATTATTTATAATTTTTTTAATTAAACTATTTAGTTATCTTAATCTTATCTGTAATTATTTTACCATATCATAATTATTTTTACTAATATATTTTTCTATTACTTACTAATTACGTAACAACTAAAATTCCGTATTTCAAGTAAAGTGGACAAATTAACTAAGAGAAAGAGAGGGTAGTATATATAATGTTACTCCTATTTTAATATTTTTAGAAATAATAAAAAATAAGAATTTAATATAATATTTTGTAAGAAAATTAATGTAATTATTTTATAAAAAAATATTATTGATAAATAATACTCCCTTTCTTCCACCAAGAGCATTCGCAAAGCCGGAGGAGATGCACCACATCATAATTTTTTTAAAAAAAATAATAATAAAATAATAGAATTGTCATGTGTCTCAATTTATATATATAACATATATCATATATATTTTGTTTTTTTAATTTATATTGAATTTATTGTTATATTTAAATTTTATAGTATTTTTATAATTCATAATATTTTGTATTCTACAAAATAATACCAATATTGAATATATTTTATCAATTTGAAATTTAAAATATATAAATACAAATATTATATAATTTTATTGAACAAATCAATATTAATAAATTTAATTTAATTTATTAAATAAAATATAATTATAAATTTTAAAGCAATTAAATAATATAAAATTATATTAATTTTTAATAAATCGAAATATTGACAAATAATAATATAATATAATAATTAATACTAAAAATTAAAACTATAATTAAAAAATAATATATATAATATGAAAATAAAAATTTATTAAAAAATTAGGATGAGTATCTTTGTTGGGAATATAAAATAGAATAGAATATCTCCGCTGAGGGGGCAGAAAGAGAGAGTAACGTGGATTACAAAAAGAAGTGGAGATATCCAAAAGCGGGTATCTCCATTGCGGATGGTCTAAAAGTATATATAGAAATTTAGGTAAAATATAATTTATAATTAATTAAAAAATATTAATAAAAATAATTAGTTAAGGATCATAAGGTGATATTATAATCAATCGGCATATCTTGAATTTATTGTTTAACCATTGATTTTACATTTAGTAATCTTAATTAAATTAAAAATCTAAATCAAATGGATGAAAATTCAATTTAATTCCGTCAGCAAAATAATTATTGTATAATAAAAATAATTATAAATTAAAATTAAAATAATTAAATAAAATAATTAAATAATTATAAAATTTAAAAATGTGAAATCATATAAAAAAAAATGACAAATTTATACATATTAAATAAAAGTTAGATTTTAGTTAACATGAATTTTTTTGAGAAGAGTGCAAGCATAATTTTGAAAATATATACATAAATAAATATCACTGGGTGATTATTGGAGTTTTTATATTTTGAACTTTTTTTTAATATGTATATATTTTGTCCGTCTTATTGAAAGATTATCATTTTTCATTTTTGTCCGTCCCAAAACAAGGTTACTATTTTCTAATTTAGTAATTGTACTACCTACCTAAAATAATAAATACCCTTTCAACTTACACTATATTACATAAATGTCATTACTTTTATATTACATAATACTAATAGGGATATTTTCGTCTTTTTCACTACAACTTTTTATAATACTAATATTGAAAATTCTACGTGCAAAAAGTAAACGACAACCTTGCACCGGATCGGAGGAAGTAAATTTTTTTATAAAAAATTACAATTGATAAAACAAAAAAATAAAAAGAAGTAAACTATCTAATATATTTACAATATGATTTACTCCCTCCGTCCCATGTAATATAGGTGTATTACTGTAGACACGAGAATTTATGTAAAGTATAATTAGTAAGTAATTAAGAAGTGTATTAGTAAAAATAATTATAGATTAAGATTAAGATAAGTAAATAGTTTAATTAAAATTAAAAAAATTTAAAATTTAAAATTTAAAATACGATTAAAGTGCATAATTATATTTCCAAAAATAGAAATGATAAATTATGTGGGACGGATAAAAATAAAAAATAGGAATAAATTATGTGAGCCGGAGGGAGTAATAAACCTAATGATTCCCTAATTAGATACTCAGTTCATATTTTTTTTCCTTTCAATAATTTCCTTACCTAACTTAAGGATATATATTTATATATTGTTTCACAACAAATTATTAGCTAAAATTATCTCCTAATTAATTAATTATTTGAATCAAGTATTGACTTATATTACTTTTTTTTTCTTTTTAATTTGTTTAAAATTTTTATTATTCGGTTCTAATCTGAATTTGAGTTTTTTATTAATTTTTTTTAAAATAATATTTTAATTTGATACTTTATAAAATAAAGTAACATAAAATTATAATAAATAAACATAAAAGGAGATTATACCTAAATCAATAGAAGCATTTTTGTCTTTACAAATACAAAGAAAATAAATATTTTTGTAAAAATTGTAAATATTTTGGTATTTTTATATGAATTATCCTTAATATAATAGAAAATAAATATTTTTGAATTGGACAAAATATAAATGATAAAGTAGATACATTAAGTTGGGACGAGGGAATATTAAATTCAATTTTTTAAAAAAATAATAAAAATTATTGAATAGTAAAAATATGTTAAAAAAAAAAAAAACTAATTTTGTTTAAAGTATTTTTATATTATGTATGAAAAATGTAAGAATAATATAAAAAATAATAATTTATGTTGAATGAAAGAATATATATTATATATTGCGTGAATATGTAAATATTTTATTTTTTATAATATTAATTGGAAAGCTTATTAAATAAAAAATAAATAATTGTGTGTTAATACATTCTATGGGTTTTTTATAAATAAATATAAACGGTCTATTTTTCAGTTGCACATAATTTTTTATTTTTTTTCGAAAATATGATTATACATTTTAATCACATTTTAAATTTTATTATTTATAATTTTTTTAATTTTAACTAAACTATTTAATTATTTTAATTTTAATTTATAATTAATTTTACTAATATACATGTTAATTATCGACTAATTATATTTTATCTAAATTATCTTAACTACCATAATGTGAACACTTTTAGTATAAATATATTATATTCATTTAAAAAAAAGTTAATAATTTAATATAAAATATTATTTTTTATATTACTTATTATAATATAAAAAATACCTTCATAAAAAACACAAAATGAATGCAGTCATATTTTGTATTTATACTTTTATTGGGTTTGTTCATCCAATATTTTCTTGTGACACAATTTTTAATAAATATTATCAAAAATATATTATTATTTACACATATTACACAGTACTCCCTTCATTCCGGTTCAAATAGATTCTTTAGAATTTTGTAGTAGATGAAGAGATTTTGACATTTTTGCCCTATGACTTTATTTTAAAAATAAAATTGTATATGTAATGATATGTTTGTAATTTAGATAAAAGTTAAAGATATTTTGATATTGATGTATCATTACTTTTACTAAAATAGAAAAAAAAATATTTTGAGGTGGAACATACAAAAATGGTAAAAAAATACTTTAAATTGAAAGATGGAGTATATCATATAGTTTTTATTCACTTATAACAAATTAACATTCAATATAAAATATTATTTTTTATATTATTGAGGCTATTTTCCATATCTAATATAAAAAAATACATCCACCTAAAATATAAAATAAATAAATCACATTTGTATTTTTATTTTTTATAAAATAATAATTAAATATAATAAGTTTTTATATAAAAAATGAATACAATTTTATAAAAAAGAACAAACCCTGCATAATAATAATAATAATAATAGAAATAATAATAACATAGAACTATGTATTATCATAAATGATCATTTCTCCAACACTTACTTATAAATATAGTCCCTCCGTCCCACTATAATAGTCTTGTTTACCATTTTTGTCCGTCTCAAAACAATAGTTTTATTTTCGTAAATAATCATATCACCATAAAAATTACTCCTATTTTTTTCATTTTTTATTACACAATTGCTACTAGTTTTTACACTAATATACTCATAAGGGTAAAAGAGTATTTTATTTATATTTTTACGAACTACCAATATAATATCAATATTTTTTAAATCTCGTGCCCAATCCAATTATGACTATATTTTATGGAACGGACGAAGTATTATTCTTCAATCTATGGTTGTCTTGTCTGTATTATAAAAAAGAACGAAATAATAAAATATCTTCTTACACTTTAATTGCATTTTGGTTAAATGCCAATTTTGAAATAAAATAATTACTAATAATAATAAAATAAACTTGGACAATAAAAAAATGGACCAATAACGTAAACTAAACTTTATATGGAAAAGTCATTGGAAGACTTGCCTAAATTTAAATGTCTTTTTTTAATATACAGTTTTTTTATTTATTTAAATAAATAGATGTATTCTTTCATAAAAAAAATTGATAAGTTTGTAGATTGATATTATAAAGAAATATAATATATATTTTATTGGTTTAAAATTAATAATTTAATCCAAAATATTTTATTTTTTATATTATTTATATATTTATTATACTTAACATAAAAAATATTTAAAACTAAAATACAAAACAACCACATTTGTATCTCTCAATAATATTTTAGTTTTGGGATTCTATGTATCCATTTATTTTTTTACACATAATTTTAGAAATATTAATATTATATTAGAATATTAATCTTATTAGTATTGTATAATATAAAGATAATGACATTTGTCTAATATATTGTAAATTGAAAGGATATTTTTAATGTTAGACAGATAGTACAATTAATAGAAAAGAAAATAGATACTTTGTCATGGGACGGACCAAAATGAAAAAATGAATAGATCGTTAAGGGACGGAGGAAGTATTATGAAAATATTTTATTTATTGACTTTTCCTATTATGTTAAGTTGTTATGATTTGAATATATCAAGTCTGTATATCATGTATATTTATAGACCCCTAATGTAATTTTCTAGTTTTCGTAAAATATTTCTTATAAAAAGAATTTAAGTGATAACCGATTTAGCACACCTGGTGCAACACGGGTGTGTTTGTTTGGGAGTTTGGATTTTGAGTTGGGATTTGAATAGTAAAAATTTTGAATTTGAATAGTTGTATGATGTGATATAAATAGGTGTTGATGTGATATTTTGAATGTAAAATTGATTTTTAGTATAATATAAAAAATGAAAAATAGGTGTTTGATTTGATATTTTTTGGGGAAAAAAAATAGAATGAATAGTGTAAATCCAATTCAATCCCCCAAACAAACACACCTTATTGAATTATTGAACTCCATTTGTAAGAGATCAAAGACCTACGACAAAAAAAAAAAAAAAAAAAACAATGGATACTAATAATTACAAGCCTTCGATTCGAATATTTGAGGTCAATTTGAGCCACTTTTTACGATTTTACTGTTGAAGTTACCGAACGCATGACCAATATCACAAGACTAATGTTTGAGGGCAAAATAGAATTACATTATAGTAACTATATATTGAATAACAAGATCTGAAATTGTATGTGAAATTTTTAAAAATAAGTGTATATGGTATTTTATTTTATTACAATACGGGTATCTACAGAGGATACTAAAAATTGCAAAATTATATACCATTATTATAATGGAAATGTTTACAATATACGAATTTTATATATATATATATATATTTTTTAAATATTTTTTTCCATTAGAAATGCTTCTTGTATTGACAATTCTTGATGTTTTCTACTCCTAGTTTTTATAGTAATAAATAGTATTATAAATATGTTTTATTTATTTATTACAAGAAAAAAAATTCAAAATTAAATATTACTATTTAATACTTCCTTAATCATAAAATATTATCTCAAACATTATTTTTTTAAGTATTTTATATTATATTAAAATTTAATTTAAAATTTGAAATATTTCATCAAAATCTATTTATATCCCAACTAAAAATAATTATTTTAATTTAAAATTTTAATATTTAAAACTTCAAGTCCAATACTTAAATCTACAACGGACCAAAAAAAAAAAAAAAACCTAAAACTATGCTTGGTTCTTTTGAAAAAAATCTTCCTGACACATTTTTTTTCAAAAAAAAAATTAATATATTATATATATTTATTATTTTTATATTACCTAAACAATTTGTGTCACGTCACATACAAAATTTCATTCAAACTAAAACACAAAACAAGCACACACTTAATTTATTAAAATATAGTTAAAATTATTATTTATTAATTATGACTATATATTTTTAAGTTAATAACAAGCCAAACTCAAAGTCAAAAATTGAATTTGAACGTATTTACTTAATTAATTGAGTCAGTTCAAGTTCGACTTGTTAAATTTTAAATAAAATCGAATAAATTCAACTTTTATAAATTTCATTTATTGAGAATTGAAATATAGTGAAAAGTTTGGAATAAAAAAATATAAAGAAAATAGAGTATTAGATTGAAATTGGGGTAAAGGATGAGTACAACAAATAGCAAGTACCAAAAATAACATAACATAATTCTCGATCGCCTTTAAAACTACTATCAAGCCTGCCTAACTGCTGACTTCATCGCTAAACCTACCCGATGTCAAATGGGCCGGGTTAGCCCGGATCCGATTTTAATGGGACGAATTCGGGTCTAAAAAAATTGGTTCGGGACGGGTTACGAATTTTGACTAAAAACCCACCATTCTCCAAACCCGAATTCGAACCTGAATATTTTAATAATTATTATAATTTTATTTATATTTTTATACAATATTAATTATATTATTTAAAAAAATTTAAACATAAAATAGAATTTTAAATCTAAATCAAATTTGTATTCGCATTTATTTCTTATGCAACCGTCTATCACTCCATACTATTTGTCAATATTTTATTATCCTTATTTTTTAACTATAATTTTTTGGTACTTTACTTGTGTGTATATATATATATATATATATCCGTCATATCAACTTTTTTATATATCGATAATGCTTTCATGCAAAAGATTTCGATACAATATAAAGTTCAAAATTGATTTCTAAGATACGACTCATCATCATCAACCTCTCCTCTCTCACTACCATTGATGGAATTCAAGTAAATAATGTATTGTACATATCCCATTATCGAAAAATGTCGATAGACCTTAATCTTGCAGGTATCGAACAAATCGAACATGGTCCGGTCAAGACAAGGAAACAATATAACAAGAAGAAAAAGCATATAACCAGAACACCATATCCACTGCTGCTAGAGTTCCCGACAAGATAAAAACATCTACGGTGATATCGAATAAAAAAGATCATTCACATCCATTAACAATGAATGGAACCAACTAGCTTAAAGTATCATATCACAGAGTATTCCATTTGATAATAGCCAACACAGCTCAAGTTTCATAAGAATCAACTTCCATCGTCTCACTTTGGTTAAACTAAACCCTAAATAAGTGCTTCAATCTACCAGGTAAAACCGTACTAAAAGGCTAATATAATCCTCGAGGATTACAGCAACCGCCAAAAGAAATTCAAGACATTACTGTACCAGCACGCACTGAAAAAATCGGCTACTGGGACCAAAAATGTTGTAAAAAATTAAAAACAATACAACCCTCCACCCCTACTGTGACTGCAGCTCCAGGATTGAACTACTGCCCCTACCATCACTTACACAGACGAACAAGTTCCTAATTTCGACAGACAATGAAGCCAAGTACGAGGGGAAACATCAAGATTGTCAGAAAAACCTTGGGGCTCACCTGTACATCTCACCTTTACAGTCGAAAAACAGATTTCATCCAGCAATTACCAAAGTGGTGTCAGAATAAAGCCCTCTAGTTAAAAAGCATTTGAGAGCTTCAGGCATAAATACACAGTTAATGTAAGAAAAGTATACTTAAGAAAACAAGCAATAAAAGCAGCAAGCCCTTCCACCAACCAAAGGGGAGGAGGGTGGGCGTAAAAAGTGTAGGTAGGAAGGAAGGTACGAGACCTTCAACTTTGGTACCGTAGAACTGCAGGGCATCAAAAAATTCAGCCCAAAGTACGCATGTGCCCTTTTCCATGCCTCATTCATCACAAGCAAGAGGCAGTAGCCATGGCAGCATCGCATCTTCCAGCAAAGAGCATTCACAATTCGGAGCTTCTGTATGGCATACTGATTCAGCCTCGGACAGAATCCGGATTTATTTGTCCACTATTTCCACCACGAGCATTGAATCTGGTAACAAGCATGGATCGCTGAGCGAAATTGAGTAACAGTTTCTTCTGACCCTCATCAGTGTGTGGCAGACTAGCACGTAGAAGTTCAACAGGCATCTCCCGGCTGATGGCTCTCGCAGCCTCAGAACTGATTGCCTCTGAAGCATTTTGAGCAATTAAAGATTGCAATATGCTGTCATATTTACTCACACAATACTTGGTCAGAAGACTGAAAAAGGCATTGAATGACGCCTGCCAGAGAGTGGGGTTTCGAATAGAAAAGTTGTTGGAAAATTGAGGGTCGCTTAATATATTAGTTGCTCTTTCTAACACGGACTTCAAGATGACTGATGCACCATCTCCAGCAGGACTACCTAGAGGGCGAAGAGGCGGCTGTTCAGAAGAACAAACAACAGCAGCAAGACAGGCACTTAGTGAATTAGGATCCATGCTGTTAACACATAGTGACACTGTTTTGGCGAGATCCTTAACTGTCCCAGCTGCTTCCAGGTCTGACGGTAAGCCCCCAAACAGATATCTTAAATGGCGGAAGATGGCCATACACACTATTCGAGTAAGCTCACTTCCAGGTGCAAGAAGCTGAAGAAACCTGGAGATGAGCTTCCGGCCTTTGGGTAAGGAGGACACCCTCAAGAACACCATGTCATCCTTAGGAGACAACGCCACAGCATTCTTACCTTTCCCAAGAGGGTCGACCAACTGAAGAGAGGCAGCTAAACCTTCTAACAGAACAATACGCTTCTGCTTAAGCTGGCTTCCGCCATCCTGAGATTGAGTACACTGTAGCAGCCGATCAATGTCATCCACTTGCAGGAGAAGACAATGTGCATCCTCAACCATCACCCTGGCTGCAAACATTGGCTCATTCTCCAAAGGCTTCTCAGAGGATTTCTGTTCGGTATTGCCCTCTCCACAAGCAGACGGAGGAAGATCAAGTTCAAGAAGAGGCTGTGGCCTACGAACTGAAGAAAAACAAACCTTTCCATGACCATCAATCTGAAGATGTGGTTGTGTGTCGGTGCTATTTCGGGACATAGAAGATTGCTCCTTGTGCTGAGGAGGGCAAAATCGATACATAGTCCTTGTTTCGACAGATTTCTTTGCAAGACGAGCTTGGTGATAATAATCATCTAAATAGGGATCATTACCATGGGTGGTCGCAGCATGCTGCAGCTTAAGAATATTCTCTATTTCTTCTGATGTCATGTACTTTGATCTGAATTTCGGTAAATTGCTTTCACTCTTGTGGCTGCTAGCATCAGACCCATGGTGGGCAAATCGAACAGAATGTTTACCTTTTGCCAACTTAGATTTTGACTCCCTTCTGTCTGTCAATCCATACTTGCTCAATTGAGAAGGAGAAGGAAAAGTACTGTATATATTCGGCTGAATTGTTGAAAAATGAGCTAATGACGGTTGAAATGAAAGATGCCCTCTCTGCTGATGAGGGGACTGCAGCTGCATAGGTAACAGCCCACTTTGATACTGATGCTGCAATACATTGTTTAAGAGAGGATGATCAGCATGAAGAACACCTGCATGACTGCTCCATCGATTCTGCAGTCGATTGTGATGAGAAATATTTGGCAAGGTTAAATGCGGCATGTTTGTGTTGTAATGAAGCCCACGCTGCAACCCAGATAAATGGATCGAGGAACTAGAAGACTGAGCGTTGTTGGATACAGAATATCCAAATTGCAGCCCACCAGAAAGAGAGGACAAATTCAGCCGAGGATGATTTGGTGAAGCTTGTGGGGATCCTGGTGCAGGGAAAGAGGTAAATGGTGACTCTGGAACTAATATAGGTTCACTATTAAAGCGTTGCAGAGGCTGCTGCTGCTCAGGATAAGAGGATGTTCTGTATAATGGTTTTGATTCTGGAAGATACATAGAAGAAAGGGGGGATTGTGATGGCCATCTCTTATTTTCTTCATAGCACTCCAAGTCAGAGTTGCGACGGTCAATCCAATCAATGAAATCAGCGTCCCGTGCTCGGTCTGTAGCTGATGAACCTGAAGTGCCACCACAAGACAAAATCGAAGATAAGCTATTGTAATATCAAAATCATCGAGGTAATTAGCATATACTTTGAAGCTTGTGTCTGTTTTTACATATAAGAGCCAAATTTTACATTACATATTACTAAGATATACACTCAATCATTAAAGAAATCTCCAGCACTACATAATACAAAAGTATGAAACAGTTTGACCCTTTGCTCCACGTATTGCAGATGCAAACACACACACACAAAGGTAGGCACCAGTCAAACAATTTCTAAGCTAAATATAAGTTTCAGCAATCAGCAAATTTATGTCAAAGATCTAGGCCCAAAGGAAATATTCAATTCATAACTATCAAAATAATAAGAACTCACTTTCTCTTGAAAAGGATCTAGATCGATCACCAATAACTCCAGGATGCCTTGGTCCAGAAACAGTCTTGTTCAACTACACAATAAAATGAATAAAACAACCATAAAAATTAAGCAAGAAATGAATGAGTAGCAAGAACAGGATGCATCCAGGAGTTCAAAGACGGGCACTTTCACCACAAGTTATTGGCAACTATTAGACCTACAACTCATTTCAGCACTTCACAACATCATTTCAGCACCTCACGGATTACGAATGATCAGCACTATCGGTCAAATGGAAGACTACTGTCAAGATCAGAGCATAACATTGTATTTACAGAGAATTGATTAGTTGAATTGCATTATGGCAGGTTTAATTTCTCTTTTCTTCACTTTCTTAAATCACCGGTGCTCTTGTCTTCCAGTGGATTTAATTACTTACAGTTTGCTAGCCGATTATGCTGAGAGTATTAAACAACAAGGATTTTCCTAAGATCCCTTCAGGCTTATAAAAGAGTATATATATATATATGACATATGTACAGGGTGGTTACTTCCGAAAATAATAATAATAATAATAATAATAATAATAATAATAATAATAATAATCTTAGGAATATTCCAATGATTCTGACTGTTACTTTGAAATTAAAATATCCATATGATTATCAGTAAGAGAGGAGGAGAGGTTCGGTTTCCTTCTCATAAGCAGCACCAAGCTACCAAAGGAGTTCTAATGTGGGTTGGTATTAAGGAAATCTCGCTAATAGAGTCAATCATCATAAACAAACACAAACATCTCCGGAATCAAGTAGTTTCAACAAACGAAGAGGAGCCCATTGATCCCAAAACAAAAGTTACATTTAAATCTAACATAAGCCACGATTATAAGATTATATAACACAAAGGACAACTTGAGGAAGAAATCATTCTTATTGCACACACAAACAATAAGCAGCAAGAACTATATAATCGGAACACAACTCACCTTTGCAAATGTAGTTGCCAGGTCATCTATATCAGACATGGACCCCACCCCAGAATCCTAGAGAAAGAAACAAAAACCACAGTAAACATCCAAATGATTCATGCTCATATTCAATTAAAAACAATTAGGTTGACAATAACTTCAAAACAGACATCAACTTCAGATAACAAGTAAAGAGCACAACTTTTGGGACACCCTACACAGAGATAATGTCTGCAATAAGTAGAAAGTGAACATAAAGGATCATCACTAAAGACCTTAAGGCCGAATATAACCACAGCAATTGTAAAATACTGCAATTTTTTTTTTATTGATTTCAACACTGAACGATAGTGAAGTTGCTTTTTGTGGTGTGTGTGTGTGTGGGTAATTTGATATATAGTATTGCCAAAAGGATTGATACGATTGCTCGTATGAATAATAATTAAAATGTGAAGCTTTACAACTTGTGTACGGAGAGAAAAAAAATGTTAAATCTTTGAAACCAGTGATTAGTGTATTTTGAGTTTTTTAGAGTGTGTTTGTTTGTGTTTTCATCATCATCTATTCACTATAGACCAATGTAATCAATTCCATTAAAAAGTCTCAAATCCAAACACCCCAAAACACCTACAAACACGAACCACAGTGTTCTCTTTTTCCCTTCAAATCCACCCAAACACAATCACTGGCTCTCTGACGGTCTACTACTGTGGAACCAATCAAATTTAAAGTAACAATAGAGCAAGAGATTCAGATTTATGAACCTTACATAGAGAATTGAAAAGGAATCTATCGAGTACAATTCCCAGATATTGGCCTCGTATTCATCCATCAAAAAGCTGCAAGTCGTATAAGGCCAACCAAACTACAGAGAGCACTAAAAGCTTCCAAATCATACAATTATCTAAAATCTAAACAATCAAGAAATTTCTATACCAAAAATTAAAATAAAATAAAATAAAATGAATAATACCTCATCTTTTTCGAACAAGCGATACTCATTCAGCTCATCTTCCACTCCGAAACTACCCCCAATTACAGGAGCAGTCTCATATTCTTCTTCCAGACCCCCCAGTTCCACTTCATCCACTATATCCTTCCCGAAAAGGCATATTGAGATGTATCGAATAGCGAGCTGTCTGCAATGAACGATCCAACAAAAACAAAGTGAGTTTACAAACCGTAAACAGAAGCGAGCTTGGAGTCTTTAACTCCGGAAACGAACACAAATTATTAGTTACCCTCTGCACAGATCGAATCCTCAAAACAAAACGAAAAAATCAACACGGAAATGAGCTGCAAACCTGAAATCAAGCTGCTCGATGGGTCGGCGAAGTCGTTGAGGTCCCGTCGGCCAGATCCCTCCATAATCAACGAAAACACAAAAGGCGCACCCAATCGTAAGAAAATTTCACCCCCACACCTAACCCTACCCTACCCTACCGTCCCCAAATCTTGAGCACGATTAGGGTTTTGAAGCCCACATGAACCTGCCTGCCCCGACTCGGAACTCGCCGATTTCCGGTACCTAGATGAGTATGCGCAGGGAAGGAGAGAGTGGACAATCGGTGGTGGTGAAGGTGAAGGTATGCATTAAGAGAGAGAGAGGAATGGTGCTTAGGTTTTGCTGCTTGAAGGTGAACACACCAAAATGAGAGTATATAAATCGTTACTATATTTATATTTATGTGTATATATATATGATCTGTTTGAAATGTAATGCTGTAGTACGAAATTCGGAGTTTTTAGGATATGATCTTCTAATATTTAAAATTAAAATTAATATTCTGTATCTTATTTTTTTTAAAAAAATTATAGTACTTTTTTTTTTTATCTGAAAAAAATTATAGTATTTTTAACTTAGCAATCTATTTATTTTTTTATTTTTATTTAGTCTGTTTCATAATAAAAGTATCTGTTTCATAATAAAAGTATCTGTTTCATTTTTTGTACTATCTACCTAAAGCATGTATTGAAACGAAGAAAATACTAATAATTCTAAAAATTTGTTAAAAAATAAACTGATAAATAAATATAGAACGAATGGAGCATTATATTTTATATAAAATATTACTATATTAAAACATCAATTTAAATTAATATTCCTTCAGTCCAGGTATCATATCTTTTTCTTCTTACGTATGAGAATTTAAAAGTAGTATAATTAATAAATAATATAGTAGTTAAAATAATTATTTTTACTAAAAACAGTAAAAATAATTATTTTATAATAAAAATAATTATATATTAAGATTAATATAACTAATTAACTTAATTTTGATATGTTTATCATTTATATTATATATAATAATATATTTATAATTTATGTAAAAATTAAAAGTTTTTTTTTTTTTGTATTAGTGTGTATGATTACTTTTATTATAAAAGAAATAAATATTTTAAGTATGATAGATGAAAATAGTAAAAAGGTATCTTTCAGTTAGGACGGATGGAGTATTATTTTTGTTTAAAGCATAACTTGGAGTCAAATTATTGTTTGCATATGAATAATAAAAATGTAAAATTGTTTATTACCAACTTGTGGTTTGAAAAAATTGTATTATTCTCCCCTATAATTTAAAAATTACATGGAGCTGTCTCATATTTTGGAAAATATTATACAAATTTTTTTAAAAATTATATGAGATTCCATGGTCTTTTTAAAAAATATATATTGCACAAAAACCTCTGAAAATGAGATTTTGTGCAATATTTTTAAAACACAAAGAAATATTATGTAATTTTTAAATTATAAGAAAAAGATAAAATTGTTCATAACTTCCCTATGGTTTCGAAATTCAGTTTAAAATTTCTCTGTACTTTAAAAATTGCATTACACCCCCTTATACTTTGAAAAACGTTGCATGAAACTCCACCATAATGAAAACTCCATTGTGTGATGAGAAGGTGATTTTCTATCGGTATGTTTTGCATGACATAGGGTTTTATGCAATATTTTTTAAAGTATAAAGGGGCGTTATACAATTTTTTAAAGTAAAGTAGATATTTATGCTGAGTTTTAAAACCACAGTGGAATTTAACGTATAATATTTTAAAGTATAAGGAAGTGCTATTATAGACAATTTTGTCTAATGTTAGAATTTTAGGGGAAAATAATGATATGATCTTATTGATATAAATCAAAGTAATCTAATCTATGAATAAGATCAAATCTACGTATAAATCTACTAAATCTAAAACTGAATTTTTAAAATATATCAACATAACCCCTCAAACTCAAGTGGTATAACAGAAACCAACTTGAGTTTGATAAGAAAGTTGAATATAAAAGCAATAAAAAACATAAATAAAAATAACAGTTGACTTTCAACCGAAGCAAAAAAATGAAATGACTTTCCACTCTGGAGCAAAAAAACAAAACGAGATGGCTCTCCACTAGATCCGAAAACGAGATAATTCCACCGGAACCTAAAAAACATAACTCCACCGGAGCCGAAAACGAAATGACTCTCCACCAGAGTTGAAAACGAGATGACTCTCCACCAGAGCCGAAAACGAAATGACTCTCCACCAGAGTAAAAAACGAGATAACTCTCCACTAGAGCCGAAAACGAAATGACTCTCCACCAGAGTAAAAAACGAGATAACTCTCCACTAGAGCCGAAAACGAAATGACTCCACCGAAGTGACATGACTCCACGGGAGCCGAAAACGACATGACTCCACCGGAGCCGAGAACGAGTTGACTCTCCACTGTAGCCGAAAACGACATGATTCCACCGAAAACGACAGGACTCTCACCGCGGCCGAAAACGAGATAAATCGCAAAAGCTAAACAGATCGCACGCAGGCAACAGACAAGACAGATGACAGATCGCAGACAGATTTCAGATTGCATATAGGAACAGACAGGCCGCGGATAGATGACAGATCGCAGACGAGACAGATTTGCTAAAAGACAGACTTGCAAAGGCATGATCTCAAAATCACAAAACCTCCGAGTATAATCTAGGTTGAATATACCCAGATAAACGCAGGTTTATAGGCTATATCTACGACATGAGAAGAACAGGTTCTGATACCATGTTAGAAATTTTGGGGGAAAATAATGAAATTGTCTTTTTAATAATCAAAATAAGGGGTCTATATATAGGCAATACAAAACCGATTTGATAGACTCAAATCTAAGTAATCTAATTTATGGATAAGACCAAATCTAAATATAAATATACTAAATTTAAAATTGAATATCTAAAATATCTTAACATCCCCTCAAACTAAAATGGTATAACATAAACCAACTTGAGTTTGATAAGAAAGTTGAACATAAACGCAAAAAACGAGATGACTCCATCGGAGCAAAAACGACATGACTCCACTGGAGCCAAAAACTAGATAACTGTCAGCTGGAGTCGAAAACGAGATGACTTCACCGGAGCCGAAAACAAGATGACTCCATCGGGCCGAAAACGAGATGACTCTCCACCGGAGCCGAAAACCACATGACTCCACCGGAGCCGAAAACGAGATGACTCCACCAAAGTCGAAAACGAGATGACTCCACCTGAGCCGAAAACCACATGACTCCACTGGAGCCGAAAACAACATGACTCCACCAGAGCCGAAAACGACATGAATCCACCAGAGTCGAAAACGAGATGACTCCACCGGAGCCTAAAATGACATGACTCCACCGAGGCCTAAAACGACTTGACTCCACCGGAGCCTAAAACGACATAACTCTCCACCAGAGCCGAAAACGAGATGACTCTCCACTAGAGCCGAAAACGAGATGACTCTCCACCGGAGCCGAAAACGAGATGACTCTCCACCGGAGCCGAAAACTTTCAGATCGCACGCAGGCCACATACATAACATATGACAAATCGCAGACAGGTTTCAAATTGTATGCAGGAACAGACAGACAACGGATAGATGAGAAATCGCAAATGAGACAAATTTGCACAAAAACAGACTTGTAAAGACATGATCTCAAAATCACAAGACCTCCGGGTACAATCCAAGTTGAATGTACCCGGAGAAACACAGATTGGTAGGCTGTATCTACAGCATAAAAAAAATAGGCTCTGATACCATATTAGAAATTTTGGGGAAAAATAATGATATTATCTTATTGATCATCAAAATAAGGAATCTATATATAGACAATACAAAACAGACTCGATAAACTCAAATCTAAGATTTATGGACAAGATCAAATATAAATATAAATTTACTAAATCTAAAACTAATAATCAGAAATATCTCAACACGTAAGAAAAATGATAAAAATATTTTAAATTATATGTAGATTATGAACCATTTTTCCCAATAAAAAAAATAAAATAATGAAACAAAAAATTCGCGTTGGACAAAGCATAGCCACTTAGAAAAGAAGAAAAATAAAAAAGAAAAAGACAAGGACAGCCAAAACAAAAAGACACACCGCAGCACACGACACCTCCTTATAATATTGTTCAAGTGCATCAAATTAATGTTGCTTACATCCACATCATATTATTCTTTTATCCATAATTTCGAATTATTTGAGGGACCCAATTGCAAATATAATACTCTCACCGTCCCATAACAAAGTATCAATTTTTTTATTTTAGTCCGTCTCATAACAAAATATTCATTTTTTTTAGTAACTGTACTTTATACCTAACATTACAAATACCTTTATAACTTACAATATATTACACAAATGTCATTACCTTTATATCACATATACTAATAAGGTTATTTTAGTCATTTTTACTTTATTCCTACTATATTCCAATATAATACTAATATTTTTAAAACTACATGTAAAAAGCAAATTGATACTTAATTTCGAAACGAAGAAAGTACATAGTTTTAGAGCCCACAACTGACAATACAGGACCTCGTTGTCTTATATTGAAATTATTTATATTTATTATTATTACTTTAATTTGTTGGTTGTGATGTGATTAGGACAATATATATATTATATCTCTCCGGAAAATAATAATTTAGGTTGGTTACGAATACGAGTGATAATGATATTTTATAATTAAAATAAAATAGATAAAAAATTAAAAGAAATATTATGATAAATTTATTTTAAAATTAACAAAAAGAGTAGGGTAAATATAAAAAAATAATAATAAATTGATTGTTATTTGTTAAATTATAAATAAATAAATTAGATTAGGACAATATTATATAATTTTAATTGGATACAAAATAAATAGTATAGTTATTGATAGCTCAATTCCATTTTTGTGGTCCAAAGATAGTGTTGGACCAACTCATGCCCAAAAGATTGGTTTCAATATTTTACATATAATCATTGTAATATTTTAAATATATATATATATATATATTCATAAAATCATCACATTTTAAATTATTATTTAAACAAAAAGCTTAAATAAAAATTAAAATAAAATTTCAAAAGAATACACAATTTCGATATTTGATTACAATTCAATATATATATGTATATATATATATATATTTACATCTTTATTTTTAAAGAACTATTTAATATTTTGGTTTCTTTATATATATATATATATTACATGTAATACTGATTTTAATAAAATTTGAATACTTCACAATTATTTTATTTTAAAAACCTCAAAACTAAAATATATAGTATAAGTTAAAAAATAAGTTTTCAAATTTGAATGGACATTAATGTTCTATTAAGTACCAAAACTTCATGAGCTATAATATACAAGATTT